CTCATTGCCAATGCACCCTGTGGTCCAGCTGGGAATTCCTGGTCTAAACACTCTGTGAGACCCAGGCCAAGCTTTCTGAAGTCAGATCATTCATTAGTTTCAGATTTGACCCTCGCTCAGGCAGCTGCTGCCACAGGAGGACCTGACCCAGCAGCAGGGTGGCATGACTGTCTCTGGAATGTTAATGCGCCCTGGGAGGGTATTTTGTTCTTTCCTTTCCTTCCCATAGCAAGACTTCCATCTTCATATCACTCCAAGTCCAATCTGACCGAGGTATACTAATCCAAGCTCACCACACTGCTTGTCTACCTGGCTGCTTGGCAAGGATGAGGAGCCCTCTGCTCTGGGCTGCTCCTGTCCCTCAGCTTTGGGAGCAGCAGCAGCCTTCTGAGGGGCTGACCCACACCACAGCAGCCCTCTGTCAGAGGAGATCGACCGGCCAGGCTGGAGGTTCTGTCCAGCCAGCTGCAGCAGGGGTAACCACCTCTTCCTCTCCCCTCAGTCAACACAAACTAGCCCAGGCCTCTCCAGGTACTGCCTCTTTCTCCTGCCCCAGGGCCAGCCACATTCCCACAGCCTCCCAACCTGGGAGGAGAAATCAGCCAACCATGTACCTATCTGTCAAATGGGAGAAGAGGTGCTGAAATAAAGGGGAACAACAGAGACATCCAAAACCCTCAAAGTGGGGGTTAATTCAGCCTTAGAATTTAGCCTTTAAAAAAAATACATATCAGTCTGAATTTTGATCACCCTTGTTTTCTCCCAAACTGCAAACCAATGGGCCAATGCTCAGCTGCTCTAATTGGACTTTTGAGCCTCAATAAATGTAACCACCTCTTCAGGCAACTGAAATCCCATCAGCACTCACAAATGTGTACAGAATCCTAAAGCCCAACATTCCTCCTGCCCCGTGGGAGAGGGCTAGGCAAGACCTCCACATCCCGAGACCCTGTCAGCAGGGCCAGCCCAGCTCCAGCCCAGGATGCCAGCCTGAACTTCACTCATGCAAACATGTACTGAGTGGGGTGACCAGCACCCCACCCTGGTGCGCAACTACAGTGTGGGTGCAGGTGTGCCCTAGAGACAAGAGCAAGACATTTCACAGCAGAAGAGAACAAGCCTTTAGGCCACCCATAGAATGGACACAGGAAGAGTGACATTCACACCCTGGACACCTCCACAGCACTGCAAAAGAACAAAGGTCTGTTAAACACAATTAGGATATCACACTTGCAATGTAGCAAGCGGAAGCTAGGCACCACAGAGTACATCCTGTACTGCCATTCACAGAAGGCTCCACAGCAGGCAAAACCAGCCACAAATGTGGAGGTGTGAGCAGTTACCTGGGAGGCGCAATGACCCGGAGTCATGAGCCTCCCGGAGATGCTGGGAATGTTGTACCATCTCATCAGGACAATGGTTCATACAGCTATTTATAGGGGTAAAAATCTACACGCTGTACATCTAAGCTTTGTGTGCTTTAATGTAGCAAGTTAGATCTCATAAAAGGTTTAAAAATATAAATCTACACCTTTGGGCACCTTCTGTGTGCCAGGTCCAAAGGGTATCTGAGCCAAGATTCTGACCCTGTAAGACCTTCCAAGGGGAGAAGAAAATGTACTCAAATAACACCAGGCTGTCTGTGCCCAGAGGGACAGGTAAGGAGGACAGGTCAAGGGTATCAGAATTATCTGTGATGTGGGGGAGGAGCCAGAACCAACTGATGAAATACAGGAGCTGGGGAGCCCCCACTTCTCTCCCACCATGTCGAGGGCGGCTGCTCAATCACTCACTCAGCAAGCATCTAACAAATTGGGGTGGTGAGTGGCACATGGGCTCTGCCGCAGGAGCCCACAACCTGTAGAGAATCAGACACCTAGAATACAATGTAAAAAGCCCCAAGTGCCAAAAGAGAACTGTGCAGGTGCAAAGGTGCAAGGGGGGTGCAGAGGTGGACCCTGAGCTGGGCACTGGAGGCTGCTGTGGACAGTGAGGTGGGCAGGCAGAGCAGGCTGTGTGACCAGGTAAAGGAGAGAGGTCAGGGCAGGCAGAGGGCAGGGCAACCCATCAAGTGTGGCGAAGGTGAGGACACTACAGAGGGCCTGGGAAGCCCAGGCTAGGGTAAGGGTCTTACATATACTTAAGCAAGGGCACTTGTCACACTCATTTTTTTTTTTTTTTGGTCTTTTGAGACAAAGTTTCACTATGTAGTTCAGGCTGGCCTTGAACTCAAGGAGATCCTCCTGCCTCAGCTTCCTAAGTGCTAGGATTATAGGCGTTGTACCACTATGCCCTGCTATGGTTCTACGCTTGTACACAGATGATGGCTTCAGAACACAGTGCTGTATACCCTGCAGAGCGTAACACTAATTTTGTCATAAAGGTGCATAAACATAGGTCTATCAGATCCACATTTATTCTTGGAATATTTCTATTGATGAATGGTTAATTTTAATTTGATGAGATTTATACTAAACAATGAGTACTCAATAGGAAAAAAAAATCACAAAAATAACATACTGAATTTTTAAGGGCTGGGTGTGGTGGCACACACTTATAATCTCAGTCCTCAGAAGGCTGAGGCAGGAGGACTGCCATGAATTCAAGGCGAGCCTGCACTACATAGTGAGACCTCGTTTCAAAAAAACAAAAAAAAAAGAAGAGAGAAAAAGTAGGAATTTTTAATATTTATTTATAGAAAAGCATCAAAATTTTCAACATCGACTTTTTGGTATACAAAGTCTAAAAAAGAACAACACAAATTCTTACATGAACTACAATGAAAATATGAATAACACTTTACAAAAAAAAATCTTTACTTCAATTATCACACCTAAGGCAGTCTACACACAAGACAACAGATCGTTCCATACACATGCATCACACCGACAGCACATGTGTTTTGCTCTCCTGGACTTTTTGTAGGACATATCTGACATCTCAATAGTCTTCCTGTTTTGTCAGGCGCTTATTATATATATCCTACAGTGTAAAGTTAATAGGAACAAAAATATCGATAAACAAGTATCAAATTCTCTTTTTTTGTTGTTTTTTGAGACAGGCTATGTAGTTCGTGCTGACCTTGTACTCTCTATGCAGCCCAGGCTGGCCTCAAATTTGCAGCAATCCTCCTGCCTCAGCCTCTCAAGTGCTGGGATTTCAGGAATAAGTAAATAATATTTTTTAGGAATGAGTAAATTCGTAACATGTATTGTGTGTTTAGAAGAGGCACCAACATTTTCACATCTGCTGTTTACTTGCTTACAAAACCTAAGAGATAACATCAGAAATGAAAGCCTATGTGAACTACAATGTAAACACAAACAAAAGTCTACCACAATCATCTCACTGATCCTGCTGTTTTGTCGGGAGTTTCTTATGCTCTACAGTGTAAGTTAACAGGAATGTAAAATATCAGTAAAATAAAGCAGTAAGTTCTTAATATGTATCATGCATCTAGAATAGAGGTCAACGTCTGTGTTGATGCTTTATGTTTCGAGTGCTTTGTTTTGAGTGGCATCAGAGTTGCTGCACTGCTCATCAATGTCTAGTCCAGCTCTGGTTTTGCTGTAGAAAATTTCCATCTCACGCTTGTGCTTTGCCGAGGTTTCCCCGTCAACGTTTCCATCATGGTGCAGTGTTGACATCAGCAGTACCAACTTGTTTTTCTTCGCCATGCATGAGGCCTATGTAAATCTTTCTGAAATCCAAAGACTGTACTACTCAATCTTTTCTTCCACTGTCACACCCAAGGCAGTCCTCACACATGACCACTGTGTGTTCCACACATAAGTATCACTTACACTGACAGCACGTATGCTTTGTTTTCCTGTTCTTTCTTGTAGAGCACAGTTGACATCTTTTTGGTTCTCCTGTTGTTGTAAGAGGCCTTTGTGATGCTGTGCCTGCCTGTTCACCTGTCAGCTCACCAGTGTGTTCCACATTTTTTTGCTTAGTACCCCGGGCAGAAACATTTTGTTTTTCCTCTGCTGCAAATGATCTCTTATGAGTTCCAGTCCCAAACCTCTAAGAAAATTTCTCTACGATATTTCACACTTGTTATTTTCTTCATAAACTATCAAACTATGCATGCCTCTCATGTGTTGAGTAAAACACACCCACTGGCCAATGCTTTCTGTTTTGTGTGACATCAGAGCTGCAGTATAACTCATAACATCTGGTCCACCTCTGGTTTCGTCCTAGAAAGTCTCCACCTCAGGCTTCCCTTTTGTTGAGGTTTCCCTACCAATATTTCCATCATGGTGCAATGTTGACGTCAACAGTACCAGTTTGCTTTTCTTTGCCATTCACAGGGCAAATGTAAATCTTGTGAAATTCAAAGATTATACTATACAATTCCCTGTTTTAAAATTGCAATTGTTTCATTTGGAAATAGTCTGCACTGGTCAATTCGTACTCTGTTAGTAAATGTAACATCAACTGGAAACTGGTTAACAAATTGTCAAATGTCATGTTCTGATTAGTTTGGGAGATGGGAACAAGTATGTTCACAACATCATCTGGTTTATTACTATAGGACTAAGGACTAGATAGCCGAGTTCCAGGATAAATGTCTAAATTGAAAGCATAATAAGTCTTTGCATCTACAAGGCATAAATTTTTATGCCATATTTTGACCCATCACTTTTTCACAAGTCTTTTACATTCCTGCGATTACCCTGAGAAATCTCTGCTAAGTACAGCAGACCTATGAATGCTTTCAGTTCAGCTAGTGAGGTGTTATAATAAATATATTTTTGAATATGGTTACTGGTGCATATAGAACATTTTACTTGCATTTCAGCCTTTGTGTATTTCACAGCATCTTGTAGTATTTTGTGTTACAATTTCCAACCTGAATGGCAGCACTGGCTTTCTGTCCAATATGTTTCACTCCTGCAAGACCTTCATTATATTTTTGGACCTAGTTCTAACATGGATCATTCCATTTTCCTGTGTATCCATCTTGCAACATTTCAACTAGTCAAATATGTACTCACATTGCTACTTTCTTCATCAAGGAGGTCTGCATTCTTTGTGTCTGTCTCAGTCAATTCTTGCTCCATTTCACTGTCATAGGAACTTTGGCTCGGGTGGCCAATGTCAAAGTCATCATCGTCATCGTCATCATCGTCATCATCACCACAACCCACACCACTCTTCTGTTAGGAAAACACGTATTTTACCATAATGGATCACTTTCATCGTTCATGCATGAGTAATCTGATGATTCACTTTTGACCTCCTCCAAAACTTGCAAATCTGGTTTTTCATGTGCCGTTGTACTGAATTGGGCTACTTATACCAGAAAAATCAAAAGCAAACTTTTTTTTTAACAAATCCTAGAGTGGTGTGAGTCTATTGGACCCGCTGTGAAGCTAAAATAAACATACGCATAGCCAGTTAGACAAAGCATAATGTGGGTAAGAATCCTGTTTTGCCACTTTTGCACACAAGCACACACCTTGCCATTCATCATACCAAGTGGGTAAGCACATAGATTGCTTCTTGTATTCCTCAGGAAAGGTACTGAGATGCAGAGTCAGCTACTATTACACTAAAGTACAAATTTATGGATCCAGAATCACGCTCAGGGGCACACCTGATTCCTTCATCCAGCAATCTATCTCCCCCCACCCCCCACCCCGTACCAGGGATCCAACTCAGGACTTTGTGCTTGCCAGGAAGGCAAGGTATCACTGAGCTACATCCCAATCCAGAAATCTATTTTAATGAGTGTTCAATCTCAGGGCATGAATCTCCATCTTATTTTTTATGGCTGTGTGGTATTCTGTGGCTTGAGCCTGCTATAATATGTCTGTGGCTCTCTGTGAATAGGACACTTAGGTTGAATCTTTTTTTAATGAGGACTGAATTCAGGGCTTTTGCAGAGCCGCATCGCCATACGCCTTTTTAAAATTGAGACAGAATCTTGCTAAATTGCTAACTTGTTCAAGCTGAGCTTGAACCTGCCATCCTCCTGCCTCAGCCTCCCTGACTGCTGTGATTACAGGCACGCAACAAGTCCATTTGCTATTCCAAATAAGCAGCGATGGGGCCAGGGATTTAGCTCAGTGGTTCGGTGGCCTGCCTTGCAAGTGCAAGGACCTGAGTTCAATCCCTGATACCAAAACAAACAAACAAAAAACAACCAAATAAGCAGCGATGACTAAGGCTACAAATAAGTAATTTCGCATACCTGTTAACACATATGTAGGGCAAATTCCTACAAGTGCAGTTGCTGGGTGTTAATGTAACTCAGAAAAATATTGCTAGAGATAGAACACACTTGAGGTGTACACCCAAAAGACGAACCTCATGCCCAGCATGGCAGTGTGATCTGGGGGAGGAAGCAGAACCAACTGATGAAAAGCAAGAGCCTGGGAGCCCCCACAACAAGCAGGAGGATCACAAGTTCAAGACCAAATTGGGCAACTTAGCACAATCCTGGATCAAAATTTAAAAATAAAAAGGGCTAGAGTGTAGTTCAGTAGTACAACGCTTGCCTACCACGCAAAAGACCCTGAATTCAGTCCCTAGCACAGTCCCCAAAAAAAATTTTTTAAAGGGCTATACCCACTAGGCCCCTCAAACCTTCTCAGCTTTGGCTCTGACGTTCTTTCTGGTCCCAGGGCAGGGGAAGGTAGATAGAGCCTGAGTCACCACAGTACCAGCTGAAATTGGCCTCCCTGGGTAAAGGCACCAGTGTGCCAAGGAGACAGGCAGGCCTGGCAGGGAGGGATGGGACAAAGAACCTGAGGGCCACCAGCTTCCTTCTCGTCATCCAGGTGACAGAAAAGCAACTCGAAACATCCTGTGCAAAAGCAGCAGGGACAACCCAGCCATGCAAGACACTCGAGTTCCATGACATTCTGTTGCCTGCTCCTGGTCCTGTTACATAATTCCATGACAGCCATCACTACCTAAGCATTGCCTTCCTAGCCACTGGTGTGTGAGGGACACAGGCAATCCCCAGAAGGAATGTGAGTCCCTTGAGAGAGGAGAACTCAGGAGGTGCAGTAAGGTGCAACTCCCTCCCACCTCCCCAAATCATGCCCAGCTACTGACAACTGTGGATGAAAGAGAAAGGGCTTCTGCCCCCACCTGAGTGGGAGACACTTTTTACAGAAAGAACCCTGTCAAGCTTCCCATCTCCACCCAAGCTCTGAGCCCACTGCTTGGGGTAGCTAGGAACTTGGAACAACAAAGCATGCTTAACTACACAGGTTATAATACAAAAATCCTTCTAACTCATACACAGTGCATTAATAGTTCTTCATAAAGCAAAGACACATTGTTTTGGTAAATCTAGAGTTTCCTATGTCCTAGTAACATAGACTGAGAAACCTGCATAGCTGCATCTCCTCGAGGCCCAAGCAGTGCCTGTGCCTCTGCCTACTGTGTGCACACCAGGTGGTTCCACTACCTGGAAAACCCTCCCCACCTCTCCTCCCGCCAACCTCCACTGTCTACACAGCCCCAGCTCAACTGCCATCCAGCCCACTCCAAGCAGAGCAGATTGCTGCCTCCTGGGGTGCTCACAGTTTTGACCAGAATATGTTGGACTTTCCAGTGGACAAGAGGCTCTTTGGGGTGGCCACTCTGGGCAGGGAAGACCAGAAAGTCTGCTGCTTTCTTTCCCAGGCTGTTAGGCAATTTTCCCTTCTGAGCCTCAGGCTCTCCACCTACAAAATAGTAATAACAACTCCAAGGTTCCCCAGGCCAGTGGGAGGATAAAATGAAAGGACACGTGACATGTAAGTTGCAAAGCCCTACACAAATTTCAGCAAGGTCATTAATGTAATTAGTTGCTAATATTAATTGATGTTTGTAGCCTTGCAGCACACACGCCATTTGCCAACACCTCTCACTGTGCCTTGAGGCACCCAAACTGATTGCTGATGGGATCTCAGACTCACTGCTTATTCTAGATAAAATAAAATCCATAGGGCTGGGAATTTAGCTCAGTGGCACCACACCTGCCTCACAAGTGCAAGGTCCTGAGTTCGATCCCTAGTATCAAAAAAATTAATTAATTAATTAAAAATTTAAAAATATATAAAATAAAGTCCACAGCTGCAGGAGGCAGAGAGCAAGAGGCTCTGGTGCAGACTGAGGGTTAGCGGTTTGATAGTTGTTTTTCTGTAAATGATGACCCATAGGGCTTCAGGAACAGCTCCGCCCAGCAGAGGGGGTTCTCAGCCACTTGCCAGCAGGACAGGGCCTCCCTTGGTGCAGGCTGTCTCTGGGGATTGCAGCAGGAGAAAAATAAAGGTACCATTTGTCCCTTAGGGTGGAAAGGCTGTCTGACCTGAAAATCTGTTCAGGGTGACAGATGCAGTAACTTGCAGAATTCACTCCACATTTTTTTTGGCAGGAGGCGGCCATCCTGGGACCCATTTTGATGCCCAGATGAAAGGTCCACAGATCAAAGCTTCCCAGTGAGGGGACCAGCCTCAAGGGGAGCATGGGTTGGGAAAGAGGACATACAAGTGCACTCTGTGTGGACACGCCCTGCTCTCTTCTGTGGCGTGCTCAAGCTCCAAAGCAGCTCCTAGCTGTATGGGCTCAAGGCTGGCAAACCCAGAACCTTGCCTGAGCTTTCCAACATGAAGAGGTTGGCAGAGGGGTATGAGGAGCCCCACTGAGGGGGTGAAGCTCACAAAGGACAAATGACTTCCACAGGTCTTCACCAGGGTTTCTGCTAGGCCTAGGGCCCTGTGTACTACTCAGCCATGGTGCCATCCCAGAAAAAGGTTGGGGACCTCATCTTTCCCACAGAGACCCCAGGGCTCTGATTAGGATTTCTCTTTTTTCTATCTGTAGCTCATTTTTAAATTTTATGAGTAAATGCTTATGACCTGACATTAAGTGAACAATGACAGAACACAAGTTCATAACTACAAAGAACATGTTCCCAAGCTTCAACGGTGACTGTTCTTCACTGTGAAATCCGGGTGATATGTATTCTTATCCCAACCTTTTGTGTGTTCCAAATTTACTGTCATCAATGAGTACCACGTCTAACAGCAGAGCAGCCTGCAAAACTGGCATCTACATCACCAAATTCTCCGAGTCAACATGCACTTTGTGATGTGTGGCTTTCTTAAAACAAAGTAGAGCTGGAAGTGATGCAGATTAGGCACAAAGGTTTTCTGGGTGGGATCTTTCCCCTCTGGTTTCCGCTCCCAGAAGGAGGAAAAGGAGGTGTCTGCCAGGCTTCCTGCCTCCCTCCGTAGGAGCCTGCCCCAGGGATACTCAAGCCTATATAATGGGCACTCGCAGCTCTGGATGATACTTCAGTCCAAACAATCCTCTACTGATCACCCTTAACATCTGTCACTTTTCAAGAATAATTCCAGCTATATCCCGATCGGCAAGGCCATTAACCCATCTGAGTGTTCATTTATTCAGTTGAAAATTATTTCAGCACCTACTCTGCACCAGTGGAAGTCAGGAACCACTTTACAAGTTCTGCCCAAGAAGGGGTTCAGCCACATCAGCAGGCAGCCACTGGGCATGGGGAGAGATACTGCCCAACTCCAGCTCCTCTGCTCCCTCTGTATGTGGTTTTCTCCTCACCAGTCCTTTGGAGAAGCAGAGCTGGAAGAAACGTGCCTGTTAACAATCCAGCAGTCTTCACCACCCAGTCCTCAGACTGTACCTATACGGCAGAGTGGGAGATGATGGGAGGGAATGAGAAGATCTGAAACTTGGGGTGCCCATTCAGTCCCCACACGGCCTCTTTCTGTCTTTTCTGGCCTGAGTATGAGATCAGTCAATGAAGATTTTGGACCTGCTAGGTGCTGGGTCTAAGGCACACCATTTTTCAGATAGGAACTCAGGTCTTTGCATATGCTGTTCCCTCTGCCTGGAACCTACCTGACCTTCCTTTCTACACGGTGAACCTTGGAGCCTTTGTACTGAACTATATCCTCAGCTCTTATTTGGTACTGGGAATCATCAAACTCAGGACCTTGCACTTGTGAGGCAGGTGCGGCATCACTGAGCTAAATCTCTGGGCCCCCTCAGTCCCTTTTTTCAAGACAGCATCAATTAAGTCACTAAATTGTCCAGGCTGGTCCTGAACTTGCAATCCTCTTGCCTCAGCCCTCTAGAATGCTGGGATTACTACAAC